GAGTGGCAATAACTGTCCTTACCAGCAGCGGTAGTGTGTATTCGTCATTCAAAAGAGGCAACAGCCAATCAGAGTGATTTCTTTGGCCGACTTTCTTTGGCCGATTCAACATGTTGAACATTGATTCAACATGTTGAATCGGCCGCGGGAGGTGTGAAAATGTGCCGTAAAGCAACGACGGTGCGGGACACACCAACCTGAGTAGGGCGCCGCGAATGCCTGACTGCCTCTGACGGCCTCTGACTCCCAAAATCGGGTTGGTGTTAAGGAATTCTGATTCTGATCATGAATAAAGTTTCGAAAAACAGTGAATAATGTGTCACATAGATATAGACGGAGAGAATCAAACCAACACGACTTGCTGTTACTCATTTCCCTGTGTAGCCAGAGTCTGGTGTGTTTCATGCTGTAAAGCTTCACTGTCATATAAAGAGTCACTAACAGAACATGTGAGGCGCTCCACAAAGCTGCAGAAGCTTCACTGTGTCTCCATCTGGTGGCTCCTTTAAAAACACATTCATACAACTGAGTGTGGACAAGTAAAAGGGTGAGTTCACTAGATTTTATTAACCAGCTGCATCCAAATCATTCAGCATAGATAGATACTTCACTTTAATGTCACTGTTTCATGCGTTAAGTATTTGGCTTAAGAGACACATCATTATGCAAACTGTTAAGACTGATCTCTGCATCGTCTTTCACACACACAATGAACATGACATTTTCACATATTACACTTCCAACATATTTCATTAAATTCCCCTTTAATGCCTGTCAATCACTCTTAAAGTGCCTTATATTACCAGCCTGTGACTACCTCATTCACATAATAAGCTAGCATTAGAAACAGAATGGACTAGCCCCTAGAGAAAGAATAAAACATGATGTTCTTGTATCAATAAACTTCCGTCCGTGCGTTATATTTTTCTAAATCTTCCTCCTACAGTTCAATACATTGACGCCTTAAAGTGGAACTGGAGGCGGAAGTGATTTACGTTTTAACAAAAGCTTAGGTTCTCAGCTTGAATAAACTATTGTTTATTAGGTTTTATTTTTTACTAGCTCCTGCCATTCTTTCTATTGGCTATGATAACATGTTACTTCCAAGTAATCACTGAGATCTCAACATTGCAATGAAGTAGGTCCAGAGGGATAGCAGATAAGAGCGCTCGGACAATCATACAGGTGGCCAACAGGCCAACATTGTAGCCTGATGCTTCTGTTGGAGGGAACCAGTGAGAGCATGAAGCTGAGGTCAGAGCTCCTGTGTGTGTGCAGCACGAACCCTTTACAGTGTTTATTGTAACACGTTATATACAACCAAAACTCAGTTTGAAGTGCATTAAAAATAATCTGAATAGATGAATCAGCCCAAGCCACTCATTGATGCCACATGACGCCGCTAAGGGACATTCTTAGTGTGAAGAATGACTTTGTAGTCCTGGCTGATGATTCATTTATTTAATTTTTTCGTTTTGCTTTTGGCAAGAGTCTATTCACGGAATTTATTTTATTTAAAAAAGGCCTTCTTCTCATAAAGCACACATCTACATGCCTTGATTATGCCATTATTTGTATAGCTTTATTTTAAATAGTTTCTAAGCTCAATAATAAACGCAGATAATATTTGACCAGAATTTCTCCCTTTTGTCTGGGACATTGAAATCTTCCCGGAGATGTACATGGCACCAATGATTTCTATCTGAAACGCTGGACTTACAGGTAAGTCCAATCAGGAGCTGACAGGAAGTTCCTGCTTTCTTCTCTGTTCACGGCATACAGTGGTCTATGAGAATGTTCGCTGTATCGTTTGACTGTTTCAGGGAAGGACCGACACCACCACCATAAAGCATCCAATGCTGGGAGCGGCGCGACCCCTTTCAGCCAAAAACGGCCCTGTGGACATGAACAATGTCCCCAAGATGATCAATGACAATATCAATCACATGGCAGCCCTGCACTTAAAGAGCCCGTGACACGGGTTTCCCCCATCATCCAAAACCATCAATTTTAGTAAATATTGTCCCCTTGAAACCGTTACTGAACTGATTTGGGATATTTGTACTTTGATAACCATTAATCTCCTCTTCAATGTTGACCATATTCTGGATCTTCTCTGGGATTCTTCAAATCCCGCCAAATTATGTGTGACGTCATTGCGGGCCAAGAGCTCCAGCTGCACCGTTCCGGATCCCAGCATCTGCATGCAAACGCACGATGGCGCACACGATGGCTTTAGCCCCGAATGTTTTTTCTGTAGTCCTAAACGATAGCTGGGGATTTTTATTTTGAAATTCAGTTCCTGACGGACGCCAAAAAAGCCCGAGATTATGGAATTAAACCAATAAATAAAAGCAAGGATAATTGTGTGTTATTGGTGAGTAAATAACAGTGTGTTATTTTTGAAAAGAATAACAAATTAGAAGGAAAAAAAGATTGAAAAAATACAGATTTCAGTATCCTGAGGCTCTGAGCCCCATTTATTTTCCTCACAGACGACAACAAAAGTCAGAAATTATACGATTTCAAATAAAAGCAATAACTGTGGCTTGATATTGAGTAAGAACATGTTTTTATGAACCACACAGCTTCCGGTCTTCCTCGACCCGACCGGAGAAAAAGACGTGCTGCAGGCAGTAGAAATACATTGCTTTTAAAATCGTGCTGTGCAACACGAAAAAAAGGGGCAAATCGTGTTGGTGAACACGAATCAATAGATTAAAAATCGTGTTGGTGAACACGAAATGCCGTGAGACTGGGTTGAATAGTCGCTTCTCTGGTGCGCACCAGACGACAGTTTGTTACATTGTTTCATTTTTCAGAAGGTTCGGTTTGCGTTCACACGGGCAAAACTCAAACGGACTATAAACTGTAAACACAAGTGATGTGCACGGAAATGCTGTTCAACCATTGGTCAGACATTAAGGGGGTAAAAACGCAAATCCCGGCAATTTCTACCGGAGCCTCCGCCATGGAGCATCGGCACTTTCGGCAGGTTGTTCTCATGCTGCTGTTAATTTGGAGATCAACAGACACTAGCGGCCCGCGCATATGATTATATAATCAGACAACGTCCGTTAAAAAACATTATAACACATATAATGAGAGACGTTCTGCAGTAAGGAGGGGCGTTTTACCGACGACAGGTGTTCTTACTTTTATGTAGTTGACGGAGCATTTTTTACTTTACACGACACTGTTCAACTCTTCATCCTGCTTCACTCTTTAACTAAACAACCGCGGATGTCTTGAAAGACTCTTTCGCTAAAGATTTTGAAGACATCCGCATTCTTGTGACACGTAAATACTACGCTTCTTATGTTTTGTTGCGGACTGCGTTCACACCAGCAATGAACCGCTCCAGAGTTCGCAAGCAAGCGTTCCGAGACCACCTATTTTAGCGGACCAGAGTCCGGTTGTTTAGTTCACTTCAGAGGTCTCGGACTGCGTTCACACCGACCCAAATGAACCGCACCAAGCGGCTAAACGCACCAGGGTTCGATTCAAACGGACTATAAAAGGCTGGGGTGAATGCGCCATTATCTCAGTGGGTCTCAAATGGTTTGGTCACAAATTATTCAAAAGATCATTTCCACGGCACACCTTCATATGATCATTGTAGTCTATATGGCAGTAAAACAAGAATAGAGTTTAAAAGGGGAGTGATTTGTAAAATATCCATAAAGAAAAAGAACATCTGATTACAGTTCTGTTTCAAATGGGTGTTGAGAGATGTATCCATAGATCTCTTAATGTTGCTCTCAAAGTGCACCAGATTGATGCTTTTAACTTAGTTAAGGAGTTTGACTAAATAACGATTCTGTTTTAAAATAATGGCAGTGGACACTAATCAGTTTATGTTTTAACTGTTAGAAGTTTAGGAATTAGGTGCGTCAATATGGGCGATAATACGGTCATGTAGCCAGTGGTGGACTGGGACTAAAAATCATCCCGGGACTCTCGACCGGCCCACTTCGGTACCGCTAGTAAGTTGTCAAAGGGGGGAGTGGGGGATGTGCTAGTGACTTATCCGACCGGCCCACTTCGGTACTGGCCTATCGGGATTCGTCCCGATGGCCGGTCCGCCACTGCACCCAACCCAGCCCACGTAAACTGTCAACGGGGGAGCCTCGCTGCGGGGAAACGGTGGACCTAGTGTCCCGATCGGAGTGGAAATAATAATAATAATCATAATCCGTGCATTTTAGCCATTAATTTCCCCAACATTGTGGTAAAAAAACCACACGTTTAATCCATGTTGGTGTACTACAACTACAAAAAGCATCGGTTTGTTTTCTCATCAGGAAATGCAGACCGGCTCAAACAAACGATTTTTAAATCATGATCCTCACGATCATTTAATGTATCATATGTTCGCCGAATTGACATGAAAGCACTGACAAATATGAATATACTGTAGTCAACTTCATTAAAACGTTATTAACGTGCCTAAACTCAGTAATTCACCATTTCTACGCATGACAACACACTTTGTCCGTGTTTGGCTCTCTCGCCGCACAGTGAAGCGTTCCCGCATTGACGTCACTTCCGGCTTCCCCCAAAACTTCAAAATGAGTCGAAGGAATTTCCCCGTGATGTTCGAAATTATTGATATTTATCGGAACGGTATCGCACCTTTTTTTTTAAGCTGACGGTTCGAGATTACTAGTAGCCCAATATTTCATTGCACAACAGTTGTTGGGAGGCTGTCACAGGCAAGAAAAGGGAAATGTCCACTGAGGTAAAATATGGAGTGGTCATTGCTCCCGTAGTTTCTGAACAATATGACTTCTTAGTGCAACGAGTGGAGTCACACCCTGCTGGCCATTAGAAAGAATTCAGGTTTAAAACGTCAGTTTTGGCTTCACTCTTCAAACCCAGAGGTTCTATGTTGGTAGAAAGCCTTTTAGGAGATGAAATAATGACGTCATCCATTTGTCAAATGTCCCCCAAATGATTAATGTCCTTCACAGATATGATCTTCGAGAAATCAGAAAGTTTCAACTTTCCTCCTCTTCTTCCTCTTCCTCCTCCTCAGTGACTACATCCTGGTCTGCAGTGTCGGCCATCTTCCAGCTCAGAGCCCACTCTCTGCTGGGCCCCCCCTTCCCTCCATGCAGTCCCCTGTGTCTCTGGGTGCGGTGCTGGGTGGGGAAACACACCACCGTGTCCTCTTCCGGGTTCTTCCAGCGACAAATCCTCCACGACTCTTTCCAAGCCTGCAGCTCTTCCATCTCTCCATCTTCCTCCTCCTCCTCCTCCTCCACATCTCCCGATCGGTGGGGGAAGGCCACCATCCACGAGTGCTTCCAAGAGGGGAAGGAGTTGTTGAGTTTGTGGAACTGCAGGTGGAGCGGGACATCAGCTGTCTGTTTGATCCGGGTCTTTACTTTGTTCTCCAATATATCATCTGCTTCCTCAGAGTCATCTTCCTCCTCTTTCTTCACCTCTTCCACTTCTGCGTCTTCATTTTCAGGTTCCTCCTTTTCCTCCTCCTCCTCCTCCTCCTCTTCTTCTTCATCCTCCTCCACGTCTTTGTGCTCTTCATCCTCCGTGTCCACCTCTGTATTGTCTACTTCTGTCTCCTGGTCTTTGTCTGCTTCATCTTCTTTGTCCTCTTCTTCCTTTTCTACTTCTTCTATTTCCTCACCTCGATCCTCCTCCTCCTCCTCCTCCTCCTCCTCCTCCTCCTCCTCCTCCTCCTCCTCCTCCTCCTCCTCCTCCTCCTCCTCCTCCTCTTCACCTCCTTCTTCATTTTCCACCTCCATGTCCTCCTCCTCCTCCTCGCCTTTTTCTTTGTCCTCCTGTTCCTCCTCTTTCGTAACTTCTTGTTCTTTTTGCTCTTTTTCTAACCCTTCCTCTTCTTCCTCCTCTTTTTCATCCTCCTCTTCATCTGCTTCTTTCTTTTCTACTTCCTCCTCCTCTTCAAAGTCTTCCTCCTCTTCAAAGTCTTCCTCCTCTTTGTTCTCGTCTCCAGCTTGGTCCAGATGTTCTCCTTCATTCTCCTCCCATTCTTCATCCATCTTGTATTCCTCCTCCTCCTCCTCCTCCTCCTCCTCCTCCTCCTCCTCCTCCTCCTCCTCCTCCTCCTCCTCCTCCTTGTCCTTCATGTCTCCTTCCTCCTCTTTCTCCTCCTCCTCCACGTCATCACCCTCACCATGTTGGTTTATGTTCTCATTCTCCTCATCCTTAGCAACTTGTGTGTCCCTGTCCTGATGTTCTCCCTCCTCCTCTTCCTCCTCTTCCTCCTCTTCCTCCTCCTTAGGCACTTCATTGTCATGATCCCTGCCCATGACTTCTTTATTTTCCTCCATCCTGTCCTGTAGTTCTTTGTCCTGCTCCTCTTCATCCTCTTCCACGCTATCATATTGATCCTCTTCATCCACATCTTCATCATCATCATCCTCTTCTTTTTCGTTCGTTCTCTTGTCCTTGTTTTCTTCTTTATCCTCCCCCTTTTCATCTTCTTCTTCACTTTCCTTGTCCTTATCCACACCTTTGTCCTCCTCTTCCTTACATAAGTATTCCTCCTCCTCCTCCTCCTCCTCCTCCTCCCTCCTCCTCCTCCTCCTCCTCCTCCTCCTCCTCCTCCTCCTCCTCCTCCTCCTCCTCCTCCTCTACTCCTTCATCTTCCTCCTTATCCTCTTCATCCTCCTCCTTCTTGTTGATTTCCCTGTGTTCCTTCTTCTTGTGTACTTCTATGTCTTCTTCTTTGACCTGCTTTTCGTCCACATCTTCCTTCTCCTCATTGTCATCTACTCCTTTGTCGTCCTCCTCTTCCTCCTGCTCCACCTCTTCTTCCTCCTCCACCTCTCCTGCCTCCTCCTCTGTATCATCCATGATCTCCTCTTCCCCCTCCTCCTGCGTCTCCTCCAGTTCTTCCTCTTCTGGTTCTATCCATCTCTTAGGAATCCTCCAGGCGTCTGTCCACTCTGTGCTGTCCGTCAGCTCTTCGTCCAGCTGTGATGTGAGGAGGGTGTTTGTGGCTTTACGTCTCCTGGTCAGCCTGGCGCTGTGTCGGTGTTGGGACTGTAGTGAAGCCCTGCACCACCTGTGGAGGAAGTCATAGTTTCAGATCAGTCTGATGAACGGTAAAGCATTTAACCACGGTCAACAGACTGAAGAGTGGTGGAAGGTTTTACTTTGACCTTCAGTAATAAGAGATTTAATACATATCCCACAAAAGCCATATGATATTATATGTGTATATATTATCTCTTATTGTAACCAATGTCAGAACCGAAGGCTATTTTGTCTGCAACAATACGCCCGCAAGACCCCTGCTGTTTCTTAATTTGGGTTCTTCTACATTTGCTGTTTTAGGTGCATAAGTGTCTTCCAATGCGAAGTACGGACAAATGCATTAGGGAAGGTGACAGGCTGCCATTCTTTGGGAATGGAATCACCAAATGGCACCATGGCAACAACTCAGCTATTCAAGATTCAGGAGTCGCCCAGAGTCACCACATTGAGGGCTTGAGAAATGTTATAGTTTACACTGTGGAGACAAATAATCAAACAAAGCAGAGCTGTTAGCGCCAACCAACTCTGTCAAAGTCGTTCAAACTAATGTGAGAAAGATCAATAGTTACAGGTAACAGCTCCCCATTTGATGCTATTTCAATTTAAAGACTTAAGTGGACTTGAAAACAATGAGTGGAAATGAATTAATTTGTTGTTCAAAGAGGCAGAAGAATGCTCACAGGAACACACTGTCATACATTAATTGTTCTTAAAATACCATTGTGGTGTAATGCATACTGTAAATAAGAAGTGGAATTAGTCAATGTGATGTCACGTAATGGTTTGTGGACCAAAGTTTAGAAACATTGTTTTTGGCAATTTGGTGAAGGTGTTTTTCAGCGATCACAATTAAAAAATTAACCATAATTTACTAAATACACTCTGTCAAAGGATTACAGTAGTACAATGACAATGTGAGCAACACTCAAACCTGAATATGCTGTAGTAGCAACCTGTCAATCACATGGCAGCCCCCCCACCTTAAGAAAAAACTTCTTTCTTGTCTATTTCAATTTCTTGCGGTATTGAAGAAGACTTCTTCTAATAATTAATAATTAAAACACTGATATATTTGATGTTGTATAAAGTAACAACACCTATTTCTCTACCTCTCTCTGTTCTGCTACATCCTTTTAGTTTTTTTGACCTGGGTGCTTATTCTGATATTTGAAACTGCCAACAGATAAATGTAAAGAGGTTGATGCCTGAAAGTGGATCAACATTAGGCACGGGACCCTTCGCACCAACCTGATCTGCTGACTGTATCCCCAGCAGCAGTTCCAGTTCTTGTGACATTCTTCTTCTTCCCCCACAGGAGCTGCACCGAGCAGCCAGGAGTCGCTCCAGTCAGGCCGGAATACGTCATGAATCCTCGTCATCAATGTGGTTTCAGTGCTGGGGCTTGTAGTCTGGGTCTCTTCTTCGGTCATGTCTATTGGTTCAATTTCTACCTCTGACATTTTCCATGACTCCTCCCAGTCTATGGGCTCCTCCTGTTGGGTGATCACCAAATATATAATTAAATAACACTAATAAAAAGGGGGTAATCATCTGCATCAAGCATCTGGCCTGAAATGTTATATTTTATGTCTGAGTTCACTTGTGTAAGGCCAACAAAGTTAAAAGAGCAAAAAGAAAACAGGATCATATTTCTTGTTAAGATGTTGATCCCCACCTGTTCCTCTAGTTGTTGTACTTCGTCAATCTTGTCACTGAGGGTTTCTTGGTAACTTGGCCAGATACAATCCCATTTTTTTTCCTCCTGTCTGAAGGGAAAGTTTATGAACTTCCATGTGCCAGCCCAGACAGGAAGAATGTAAACTAATATCTCAGCTTTGCAAACCAGTTTCCTTTCAAACAAAATCTCCCATTGGAATTGTTTCTCCTCAGAGTACTCCAACTGGACAGGACTCTTCACCTAGACAAGGGAACAATTAAGACAAAAGATGGTTTTATAAGTGCTATTGGTCTCTTCATACCTATCGTACAGTTGTCTACCCTCTTTTGAGTTTGGGAGGTCATTGTTGAATCAACTTTATAAGATATACAGCATGTGACATCAGGAACCCTTTATCAGATTCACTGACTATCCTTTTAATATAGTTTTTTCATTAACATGTATTACATTATTTCTAATAATCTATTCTCTTCATTTTATAGCTTTTCTCTGTGTTGCGCTCGGTTGCGCCGCGTCCAGCAATGGTTGTTAATGTTGGAGCTTTTATCCAATCATATTAAAGTCAGAATGTGTTGCTGGCTCAGAGTAATCTGACCTGAGGCCTTCAGAATCAACAGTGCGGGCCTTTTAGCTTTACACAAATCTCAACGAAACTGTTGCATTGACCAATCAGATTTCGAGTTGGCGACACCGGGCCATATAGCAGGCGTACGATGACGTCGGCATTTTCACGTCCCGATTGGATTGTCAACTCTAGCAAACACTAGCATGTGTAACGGTAGCTACTGGTAGCGACCTGCTGGCACAGCATATGTAGTGTCCTTAGCAACCTGCACAAGGTAAAATATTTGCGTTTAAATTTAAAGCTGTTTTTTCAACCCACAATGGCTGACAGCGGAGGATACATTTATTTGATAAAGCTTTGCAAGCCTGTCGCAGCCGGGAAAAGGGTTTGACCGCCACTTCCAAATGACTAACTACAGCGGTAGTGGCGGCCGGCCCAAAGGGGCGCTAGGGGCGCCACCCCACCTCTTCCCACATACAAAAAAAAATATTAAAAAAATATGAAATTAAAAAATATATATTTAAAATATATATATATTTTATATTTTAATTTTTAATGAACAAGGTAAATATCATAAGATTGGTATCAGTAAAATGTATAATCTACAATAAAATCTCGTTTAAAATTGTGTTACGATGTCTAAAGTTACTGATAAGTCACATGTTTCCTGCCTGGCCTTGCCCGTGGCATTAGTTTATCATTACCGGGCAGAGCCCCCGAGCCAAACAGCAGCAACCAGCACGTTGCAAAAGTCTCAATAGTAAACTGTGCCGCCGAAACATAATTTCAGCCAATCAGCGCCGTCAAATATTTTGGTCACGAGGGCGCTCACGTTGGCGCCCACGTTGGCGCCCACGTTGCTTGGACCGGACCAACCCGATTTGTATATATCACAGCAAGCTCGTGAAAAAGACAAAACGTATCAACGAGGCTTCTCACGTAGCTGGTACACCAGAAAGGCATGGCTAGCTGGATGCAAACAGGTAAAAGCTGTCTTTTGTTTCCCATGCTTGCTCTTCAAACAGCCGGGGACAGATACGATCTGTTCAGAAACTAGACAAAAGTTAAACGAGTACAAACCACAGACTGTCTGTGTCATGGAGAATACAGTCGCTGGTTTATTTATGTCTGTATAGGCCGTTGTTGTGAGTGTGGACTGTCGGAGCATATATAACGTTCGCTTAGCCAAGCTCCATTTAGAAAACACGCATTTTCTGTCTGTCTGCAGACTTGTCAAAGCATTAATTCATGGTTTTTACTAACCGGTATCAGTATGTTGTTAATTCGGCATAATTTTGAAACGTGTATTACAATTAAATCACGGTAAAATATGTTCATCTTGTTGTAGTTGTAGCCCCCTTGCCAGCGATTCTCTCTCTAGTTTAGCCGACTCAGCCTGGTTGTTCCTGGCCCTAGAACCACGATTTTATGGGGCCAGAAAAACTGTGAATTAGGACCCGCTAGCCGGTACTCGGGCTGGGCGATATGGCCAAAAAAAGAAATCCCCGATTTTTTCACAAAAAATCCGATTTACGATTTAAATCGATTTTCTCCCCCCCCCCCCCAATTCATATGCAGATGACAACGTAATTGTTCCAATTTTAACCAATGACATTTCACTGGAAAGACCAGGATGTCTTCTGTACAGCACATCAGGGATTGATAGAGTAGCTCAAAAGAGTAAAAGGAGATGCATGTTAACAAAATGTCCACTACAGTGGACATTTTCAATGGGCTGGGTCCCAGGAGGATATATTGGCACCATATCCTTTGCTATATACATACCGACCGCATCTGTAATGGCTTTCCAGCGGGCCGAATTATTGTCATATGGGATTAGTGCTGCGTACCTGGACAGGACTCACATTCAGGTTCAGGTCCGGACTCAAGTCCAGAGGTTCAGGTTCAGGTCCGGACTTATAAGTCCGGACCTGAACCCATGGCTTGTGTCAAGTTGTGTGAGTAACTAAAATGAACTTATTGTGAGCTAATTATCAATTAAAAATGAACTCATAATTAACTCAAATTCAAACTCATCAGGTTTATTGTGCTCCCTTCCAACTTGTGTCTACAAGTACAAATGTAAAAAAAACACTTTTTGCCACTTAGTCTACAAATGACTTATGACAGCAACTACAGTGAACTACTACAAAGTTCAAACATTTATTTCATTTACCAAACTAAAGTAACCAAACAGTCCCTGAGCTGACTGAGCCTAAATCCCTAAAACGTTGCTGAAAGGTAGAGTGTAGAGTCGACTATACGCATTACACTGTTACACACCTACTATACAGTATAGGCTACACTGTAGTGACTGACTGTACAGTCAGAGTGTACTGTACTGTCTGTACACCATGTATTTTCTACAACTCTACATGTGTACATTATACAGTGTATACTACATACATAGTGATGTACATACATACTTTTAGAAATTAAAATCAATGTTGATATGGCGTAATTTTGAATTAAATACACTATTTAATTTAAATCAGTTTTATTCTGAAAAAAAACTGGAAGTTGACACTATTAACTTAATACTTTTATTCTGAAAATTCTTCACTTCCGGTTAGCATTAGCATGTGGTGAAATGCTACGTTTTCAAACCGTGAATCAAAGGTGAAATGACATGTGATGTTGTACACTGAGCACACTGGGATTAGCACTCATTTATTGACGCTGAATAACGTTTATCAGGGAATGTTTAAATAACCACAGACACCAGAATATACGTAAGTGCTAGTTTTTTTTACGAGTCCAAGTACCGGTTCCCGACGTTCCGGTTTTAACCGGACTTGAACCGAAACTTTTTACAAGTCCAGTACCGGTTCGGCGTACCGGTACGCAGCACTATATGGGATGCAGTTTGAAAATTTCTGTGTTACGGTAGACTGTATTTTGGCGGCTGTGCGTGAGGTGCTTGTAGTGCCGCGGTCTTTTTCATTCCGCTGCGCGGAACATTTCTCCCATTCAGCAGGATGCTTTTGTTTGAGGTGCTGCAGTAAATGTGTCGTACTGCTGCCTTTGCTAGCAACAGACTTCAAACATACTTTGCAGCGGGGTGTTGTCTGGTCTAAATCTGACCTCGCGAACGCAAACCAATTCCAAATAACGGATGACACCGTGCCTTTCTTTGGAACAAGTTCTTACCTGCTCGTTGTCATGTTATTTGTGTAATGTGTATCACTCTATTTGGTAAATGCGCGCACTGTGCGGGGGGAGGGCTGAGGCGAACTACGGGAGCCCAGAGGGAAAAGTTGGCGGATGTTGAAGAGAAAACCGATTTTCATTTTAACAAGTCGACGTGAACTACACACTCGAGTTAATCGATAAAATCGATTTATCGCCCAGCCCTAGCCGGTACTAGGCCAAGTGGAAACGCAACCAAAAACGGGCCCTGCACGGCTCGGCACTGTCTGTGTCATGGTGAATACAGTCGCTGGTTTATTTATGTCTGTAGGCCGTTGTTATGAGTGTGGAGTGAGCATATACAACGTTAGCTTAGCCTGGTCGACTCAATCTCCATTCAGAAAACAAGCATTCTAAAAGGTTTTTCGCCTACCGTCTGTCTGCAGACTTGTCAAAGCATTAATTCATGGTTTTTACTAACCGGTATCAGTATGTTGTTACGTCGGCATCATTTAGAAACGTGTATTACAATTTAATCACGGTAAAATATGTTCATCTTGTTGTAGTTGTAGCTCCCGAGCGCGTCTTGTTTGAATGATGCGAGTAAACACAGCTGGCAGCCGCGGTGAAACTCGAGCGACTAGAGCGATGCGATAGGAGCGTTTAGAGCCAAGCGAATATTCGCATCGCGTCCGGTCTGAACGCAGCATTAAAGCGAGCTCCGCGCTGCACTGGAAACGCGCCATTACATCACCAGACGTCCTAATTTAAGGGGTCATTTCTCCGAAATAAAAATGTTTTACTCACTATATCAACAGCCCCACCAAAAATATTTTCCACCAGCCGCCACTGTACAGCGGTACCTCTCACCCCTAGATTCCACCGGGTCCGTCTGCGTCGTGTTACGGCCACGCCGCGGCGTCCGCAGGTAACGCGGCCACTCTAGTCAATGGGTGCTATTCCACCAGGCACGTTACGGCTCAGAAGCGTCCCAGAAGCGTCTCTCTCGCCGCTGGGCTCCGCTCGAAATAGGATTGAAGTCTATTTTTCGACGCGAGGTGTTGCAGAGGCGCCGGGCAGGAAGTGGACCGGTCAGAGCATCCAGCCCATCCCCCAAATAAACACATTTTTCAGACCCTATCCCTCCGTAGTCTTTCAAGTAGGAGGAGAAATGCCAGCGTTCTCCTCCAGTTTACAGGCACTGTGTAAATTATATATATAGAATAATTATGATGATGAATGCATTTTGTTACCACTAAAATACAGCAACACATCTTTGATTCATGTCGTTTATAACTGGAATATTACAATTATCATTAATTTTGTCTGTACAAAGTAGCCTGTCCAGTAGGGCTGCACGATATTGAAAAAAACTGACATCGCGATTTTTTCCCGGCGGGTCCTTTACTTTTTTTTTTCACGACACTGTCTCAGGGGATCGTAATATTTAAGAACCTATTAATGTGTTATACCAGATTAACGGAAATAATCTCAGCTAACTGACGATACAAACCATTTTTACCAAAACAAAACACAAGTCTCATAT